ACTAAGAGTCAGAGCTACATAGTGAGACACTATACCAAATACAGTAATAAGTAAATGAATAAATAAATAGAACAATACAATAATTTTTTTAAACTGCAGAAAAAATAAAATTTTTAGAGAAGAATTTATACCAATCCCTCAATCTAAAGTTTTTACTTAAATAATAAAGCCTATCCTTCCTAGAATGCTTTACTGTTTTCAAAATATGTCCATACGTATTTTCTCACTTAAATCCCAAGGTGATTCTGTGACATGCTGTGACTTTACAGATGTGAAAATTGACCCATTGCAAGATTACAAGATAAATAGGTCACCGAACCTCAAGAAAGTGAAAGTCTTGTCTTAACTCTTCTAATCCAGTATGCTTTCCTGTTTGCTGTGTGCCTGTTAACGAGGTTGTTGTAGATAACAGAGGAAAGATAAAATCTATGATTTCACCATAAATTCTCAGGAACATAAGGAGCATAACATGGGTGCCATTTCCTATCTAGGGATCACTTTTCAGATTGTATTTCAAGACCATAATTAAGAGATTTTAATTGAATTGAAAGTGAGGCCAGTCTCGGTGTTTAAGTCTTCTATTTTGCTACGCACAACTGCAGTGGGGTTCTGCTCCACCTCTGTCACATTGTAATGGGCACATAAGTGCTAAGATGCTATATTCAATAAAGTACAACAACTGTGCCCTGTTGTGTAGTGTGCGTGTGTGTACACACAGTGGTGCCTCAGTTCACCGACCTCAATTTGCTCCACGGTTCTGGGGAAGATTGCCGCGTTGGTGTGTCTGTGAGGGGAAGATGGCGGCCGTGGTGTTTGTCACCCAACACAGTTTGCACATGGCAACAAGATTTTGCCAAATCCTTTTGTTTTCAAACTGAAATTTTTCTGCAGCAGAAGTGTTCATGAACCAAGATGTTACGTACTGTGTGTAGATAGTACACACCTACACATATCACAATAATACTGAAAAATAAGAGTGACTTCTATTAGGTCTAATTATGGACATCCCTTATTTCTCTTATAAAAAACAAAATAGGGGCCAGGAGATGGCTCAGCGGAATAAGCGCTTCCCTGGCAAGCGCAAGGGCCTGAGTTCAATCCCCAGTTCCACCACACACAAAAAAAAAATTTAAAAAAAACAAACACTCTAGGGGCTGGCAAGATAGCTCAGTGGTCTAAAGCACCTACTTAGAACAAGCTTAGCAAAGTGCAGGGACCACTGTTCGATGCCCGGCACCACATGCCAGCCAGCCCCCCCTACCCCAGGTAGACTGAGCTGGCCCCCAAAAATAAATAAATAAATAAATAAGTAAATAAACAAACACTCTATTTTTCTCAGAACTGAAATTCACTGACAATATAATACTTGTTTTAGTCAGCTTTCACCCCAGCAAATTTGAGTTTACCTTTTTTTTTTTCTTATAGTCTAGTAGCCAAAGACAAAAACCAAAATTGTTCAACTGCTTCAGATAAAAATAATTTAAAATCATTAGGGCATCTTTATATGTGCAACTCCTGTTATATGACTGCCTTTCGGCATAACCCTATAAGCTAGAGGAAGTTAGCCTCACTTTATGGATGTGAGCTGAGATTCCTTGACTTGCCCGTAGTCTCATAGCTGCTGTCATAGCTGTAGCTTGGGACTTCCGAAGTCTCTGTACTAACTCAGACACTAAGCTGCCTCCGCGTGCCTTTCCTTTGTGACTTGCATGACGTGGAAATACTGTAACAATGAGTCACTTGAAAAGTGGAGCTGTAGAATGTCACCTTTTTTTTGCTTTTGATAATAAAGTATATAATTGAACAATGTTTGATGTGTTTTCTTGTACTGTGTAGTGATGTTTATCTTACACTTCACGGCTTAAATATTCCATTTTTATGCATATGAATAGAGAATTCCAGCTGCCTGAAAGGACCAGATTGACACCTTGCGGGTGCTTTGTTTACTCACTGAAGAGGCCCAACTTGCGCCCTGACAGTTGCTGTGTCCACAATCTTAACCTTGTTCTGTAAGAACCACCTGTGTAAGTGACTGAGTAATTAATTCCATACTCTGGGGGTATAGCCTCGGGATGTTCTGTTAGGATTAAATCAGATATAGATGAAGACAGTGGAATAATGGTTGCCAGGGGCTGGAATGTTGACAGCGAGAAAGGGGAGCTGCTGACCCAAAGGTGCAAAGTCTCAGACAACTGGAGTAAGTTCTGGAGCATGGTGCCTATGATGATTATCTGCGCACTTGAAAATTATTAAGAGATTAGATCCTACACATTCTCACCACAAAAGAATGTTTACTGTGAGAGGCAATACTAGGTGAACTGGCTTGAGTTAATCATTTTACTATGTACCCATGTATCAAAGCATCGCATTGTATTCAACTTGTATTTGTGAATTAGATTTTGATAAACTTTGGAGAAGAAGATTAAATCAGAGAATGCCATTGAGTATGAAAAATATTGCACTCTAAATTAGGTTGGGGGGGCCAGGGAGATGGCTCAGTGGAATAAGTGCTTCCCTGGCAAGCACAAGGGCCTAAGTTCAATCCCTGGTTCCACCAAAAATAAAAAATAAATTAGGTTGGGACCTTTGAGACCAGGTGGATATGGACTCTAAAATCTGCATTTAGAGGTATCTTTTATCGCAAGCTTCTTAAAGACTAAAACTATTTATTAGAGAGACATTTTAATGCTGTACTCAGAATGCCTGAAGTTCTGTGCTGTGGAAAATTTCTATTTAGAATGTTAGGACTGAGTAATTGCTCTGATTTAGTCATTTCACTTCAGATGGCGATTTTATGTAAGATAATACTGTGGAATGGTCATATTTCATCCCTTTTTCTGAGGAAAAAAAAAAAATGTGAGATCTATCCAGTCAATCCTGGTGGTGAACTCTTGCAATGCCAGCTATTTGGGAGGATAGAATAGAATGATGGTAATTTCAAGGCAGTCTAGACAACTTGGTAAGTCTCTGTCTTAAAATTAAAAATAAATTAAAAGGTCTACAAATCTAGCTTGGCACTGCCTCAGCTCAAGCCCCGGCACCTCATTAACAACAACAAAAAGATATCTGTCCAGAGCAAAGGCTTTATTAACATAAACAAGTCAAACCAGGGCCAGTTCACACTGACCAACTTAAAAATCAAAGAAGACGAGCCTATACTCGGTTTTTCTATAAAGGTACTTCAACATTTGCATCAAACTTCAAGGTTTTTCATTTTCAACATATTTAGGAACCACCTATTTTGATACATAAGCAACTGACAATAATCAGACCCGACATCAACTAAAACTCAGAGGTGTGTACTATATTATGCAGCTTCAATTTTTTTAGTCAGGGGAGTATGGCCACAAAAAAAAACAATAAATAAATAAATATTTTTCTCAGAACTGAAATTCACTGACAATATAATACTTGCTTTAGTCAGCTTTCGCCCCAGCAAATTTGAGTTTACCTCTTTTTTCTTATAGTCCATTAGCCAAAGGCAAAAACAAAAATTGTTAAACTGCTTCCAATGGAAGAAGGCATTACATCTAGGTTTTACTACTACAAACAGAGACGATCCCCTGTTCATCCCCCAATGAGAATGTACAAGGTTTGAACCTGGGCCAAACACAGTGTGGCTGGAGAAGGGAGAAGAGCTGGTGCTGAGTTTTCCTAAGCATGTCCAGTTCATTGGTTTGTCTTTGGGAAGGAGTGTCGCTGCTGCCTACAATGATAGCTGCTCTACTGGAAATTCAGGTGTATGACCTAAGACTCCCACCTTTCAAAATGTATTCCAAGTGACCTTCACTCAGTTATTACCAAAACTCAGCCCAGGCATCTCAAGGTATTATTCCCATGCAGTCGCTAGAAATAGGAACCAAAGAATGACAAGAACGACATATGTGGCCCAAAGCAAGGAAGCCGCTTTCCAGAGAGATTAGCTTTGCCATCACAGAGAATTCTATTTCTAAACTGTTTAAATTTGGTTTGCAAGAGATTATTTTGTGATCCTGGTGTACTTCCGGCATCTGTTTAGTCTTAAATGTTTCCAAAAACATTGTGCAGAATCCTCTCATGATTTGCTAACCCTTCCTAATACACAGGCTGCTTAAAATGCAACTTTTTTTAACATCCTAGCTTTGAAAACGCACACACAGGTGTGAATCCTAAAAACAGACTGAAAAGAAAAGTGAGGGCTGTTGGAAGCAGGGCTGAACGAGGTGGTTCTATTGTGCATGCGCCTCCCAGAAAATGTGAAGCTGCGTGAGTTTTGCCCCTTCCATGAGTATAGAGAAGGCATTTTAATTACGACTGCTATTTCTAGCCTACCGGGGCAAAATAAACGTATTATGCTCCCTCTGCTGGTTCCAAAGCTGCAACAGCCCATTGGCTAAACCTATTCTTAGCTGTATCTTCCCCCTTGAAAATAAATAAATAAGTAAATAAATAAATAAATAAATAAAGTGTGGGAAAAGGAAGCAAAAGCTGAAAAGCTGTTAATTTTATTATTCATTTAAAGTGTGATTGGAACAAACATCTGCCCCAAGCAAACAGTCAAGGTGACCAAGAAAGCCAGTCTGTATTGAGATCTTTGGCACTAGAAAGAGGAGAAGGAAGGGCTGCTCTCTCTGACGTATCAAACAGCCTCTAAAAGTTTATTTTGGTTCCTTTCAAATGCTGAAGTCATCTTTTCCTAGAATTTACAGAGCGCACTAGTAGATCGGTGTGGTTAGAACGTTCGGAACTGTCCACGAATGTAAAGGCTTTCTTCATTGGCTCTGGGCGGGAGAAAGGAAAGAGGATGGCTATTTGCTGGATGTAGGGAAGAAAGCACGAAGACCACCAGCCATGCAGGACAAGAAGAAGCCATCGGGAGAGTAAGATGCGCGGATGTCGGGGACCCTGAATCCCCAGGCTGTGTTGCACTCTTGTGAGACTTGGGGCGCGTCTGTCTGCAGAGTCGCCTTTGGCCTGGCCTCTGAGCCCGCCCTTCCACCCTGGCTTGCTTGCTTCCACAGGCGCCTGGATGCCAACCACATCAGCTCCGTGCCTGCCAGCTGCTTCAGTGGGCTGCACTCGCTGCGGCACCTGTGGCTGGATGACAACGCTCTGACCGAAGTCCCGGTGCAGGCTTTCAGAAGCTTATCGGCGCTGCAAGCCATGACGTTGGCCTTGAACAAAATACGCCACATACCAGATTATGCCTTTGGAAACCTTTCCAACTTGGTCGTTCTGTAAGTTTATTGATTTTGGGTTCTTTTTTAACAGTTTTTAAATTCATGGTAAAACGTTGGGCATAAAATGCTTGCCCTTCAGAGCGTTAATGGAGACATTTTTAAGGAAGGAAAACTCCCTGACTCTCTCCCTAAGATGACTTATAAATGTTCCAATTGTGTAAAGGGCTTAAACATTTATTTAGCACCTGATAAATGCCAAACACTGCTGGGCATACAAAGATAATAAAATAAAACCTGTGCTTCAGTGGCACCTATTGTACACTGTACAACATAGTCAGTACAATAACCACAGTTCATGAAATTCTTGCATATTTTAGGAATTGAAAGTTCAGGTCAAATTGAAAAAAGTATTTATTATTTAATAATATATTAATATGTCTAATAAGTACTTCTTGAGCTAAGAAAAGGGGAAAATTAATCATTGACAATGAGTATCACATTAGTGTTTGTTTTTTCTCAAGAAATGCATTTGTACAGATTTTATCCCTTTTAGGTCTGAATTATTTATCTCAGTAAATTCAGATGATTCTCAAATAAGTAAAACTTTGAAAAACAAACAATCTCTCTGAAGACTGAGGCAACATGCTCTCGCGTATAGCAGGATAGCCACGTAATGCTGAGACGGCACTTGAAAGTCTGTCAAGTTGCTTAGTGTCAGCTTTCAGTCACTGTGACAAAGTACTCGAGATAAACCATTTAAAGTAGGGAAGGTTCATTTTGGATCCTGGTTGCGGAGGTTGCCGCCCTTGGTCTTTTGGCTCATTGCTCTTGGGCCTGTCATGAGGCAGAGCATCGTGGAAAGTGCTGCGTAGTTGAGCAAAGCTGCTTGCTTCGTGGCAGCCAGAAAGCGAAGAACAACAGAGCAACAGGACAGGCAGGGATCCCTCCAATCACCTGACTTCTTTCCACTCCCAGTAGCCCCGCGGAGTAGTGTACATATGTTTAGTCTAGAGGACTTCGGGGGCCTTTTAAAAGCCAGAACCACAACCCTCTGGAAGTCTAAGGAAGGCTTCCCCACAGTTTCTCCCTGTGAACCAAGCCCACCACCTGACTCACTGCTGCCTTGTAGCGTTCCATTTTGTTACTGCATCTGCTTTTGCGTCTGCCTCTTCCAAAGGAGCAGCGCGCCCTTCTTTCTGGGCTGGCTGATATCTTCTCCGTCTTTTCAGATTCCCTTTGATGCCCTTCGTTATCTGCAATGTGTAGAAGATCCCTACTGAATATGCGTAGATCTCACACGAAACTAAACTGGATATATTAAAACAAGTGTCTTAGTCTGAAAGGAAAAGAAGTTTGGGGGATATTAATAAGTATCAATACTGAATCTCATATAAAGATGATCCCAGAAACCAGGGATATGTTTCAATGTTTTTTCTCCAGTAGAGGGAATGTATTTACAGAGATTCAGCTCTTCTTTTTCACCCTCTCCCCCTTAAACCCATTTGCCAAGATCCCTTTGGGACTTGGTCCAGCCTTCAGTTGTATACACAGCTGTTCCCAGTGGCTTCGGCCTAACTGACTAAGTCGTTGAGCCAAAGACGATAATTATACACATTAATACTGTGTCGAGATAACTAATCTTCTCGGGCAGCCAAAAAATCTGGTCACCATTCCCTGTAGTGGAAATTGCTTCCTGTGGACCTGCGGCCCCACACTGGGCATATAGCCATTATATGCCTTCAGTCTTAATAGAAAACGTGCTGAGTACACCTGTCACCTTGACTGTAGCTTCCCTGTCTCAGTCAATATCTCATTTAACCTTCTATATTCTAGTCCTGCCAAATGAACTGTATTGGGAAATATACGGAAACCCTGAATTTGATGTCACTCATGTGGTTCCATTACCTGCTCCTAGATCCTCAAACCCAAAAATTACAACTATGATTGTCTCTTAAATTCATCTATGACAGGAGTGAATGAGGCTTTTAAAATTATTCATTTCCTATGATTAGTATATCCTGTAGCATAAGTTTCTTCAGATTTAAGCAATCAGAATGTTTGGCCTAAGTTTGCTGAGTGCAGCGCCTTGTGACTATGTTAATGTTCTCCTGCAGGCATCTCCATAACAATAGAATTCACTCCCTGGGAAAGAAATGCTTTGATGGGCTCCACAGCCTAGAGACTTTGTGAGTGACCTTTTATTTGTTTCTCTTTTTTTCAGTGTTTTCATGAATATTCTGAAGGAATCAAAATAGCCTTCATGCCAAACTTTCTATTTGGTTTGGTTAATTGCCTGAGCTTTAAACATATTTACAGTGGTTCTGTCTACACACACACACACACACACACACACACAAACACACACACATGCACACTCCCCACAGAGCTAAACAATAAAACTGAGATTTCATTTTAATCTCATGAAAGGGATAATTAGTCAGCGTATCTCTTAAGTTAAATAACGCAATTCTTCTAAGCAGCGACTGTTTGTGTGCATCTGTGTTCTGTGTCAAGAATCAATTGCATGTTGTTGCTCCAGCTCAGTTTTCATGAGTTTTCATGAGCCTGCTGACTGAGAGGCGGACCTGGCAAATGCCTGTCTCCAATCTGAGGTAAACATGCATTTCATTAGGAGATAAGGAGTATTTATGCTGAAGAATTCAAAGAGCTCAAAAATGATCATAACTATCATTTGTTGATTTTTTTTCCATAATGTTATTACACTGAGGACATAGCATATAGTGTTCAAAACAGTTTTATAAACATCCTAGGAAAGCAAATGTCACTATGCTATTACAGGCTCCAGTGACAGTAGAGATATTTTGTCAATATCACATATCTGATCAGCAGCGTAATGGGATTTGTTTCCTTCTCTAGTCTGATTTTGAAATCTATGTTTACCTTCAGATGCTGCTTGAAAAAAAAAAAGTCAAAATTTCACTTCTTAGTTGGCACTGATGATAAAAATGAGTCCAGATCTCCACACCCTCTCCCAGGGCCACAGTAGTAATTCAACTCACAGCAGCCAGGATTCGGCCCCCTGCGGGCTGTGCTGGCCCCACCCATGGAGCGTGCTGAGACAGCAATTGAGACTGGGCCTAGTGATGCACGCCTGTAATCCCAGCACTTGGGAGGCTGAAAACAGGAGAGTCACTATGAGTCTGATCTATGTAGTGAGACCCTGTAAACCCTGGAGACCCTGTCCTAAATACAGGAAAAAAAAATTCAACAGAGCTGCAGCAGCATCTTCACCTTTTCCCAGGAAAGGAGCTACCTCCATTGCCCTGCTCAGTGGAACAGGTAGAATGATATGTAGTGCCAGTCCTGAGGATGCTGGGAGAGGACAGTGTTTGCAGTGACAGCCCCTTCCTCATCCTGATTTTTTTTTTTTTTTTTTTTTTTTTTCCAGAATTGGGTATTGAACTCAGGCCCTTGCGCTTGCCAGGGAAGCACTTATTCTACTGAGCCATCTTCCTGCCCCCCCCAATCCTGATATTTTTAATACTCAAGTACAATAGATTGCGAAGGCCATTGGATGTACAATGTGGGCTTTAGCTAGGATGCAGAAGCAAGGCACACCAAACTTCACTTCTCCTATGCTTGGAACCATTGTTCATTTACATACAAAGCTTAGCAGTTTGCTTATGATCAAGTTACCTTCTAACCAAGTCTGGGACCAGTAATAGCTCCAGGGTCCATGTGATGTTGGCCTTCATGTGGACAAGCACAAACAGCTTTCCTTAAGTTCCTCTGTTCCCTAAAGAGTGGCAGATGAACCTGTCTAAGCAAGACCTTGATGTCAACGTAATGGCATAGGCAGTTTCCATCAGCAGCGAGAAAAATCAGAACTCTCTTATCTACCCCAGCGTTGGTGTGGGGATCTCAACAAGTGAAATCACCTTCCAGTCCTTTCAAAAGGGCAATATAGGGGCCGGGGAGATGGCTCAGTGGAATAAGTGCTTCCCTGGCAAGCGCAAGGGCCTGAGTTCAATCCCCAGTTCCGCCAATAAAAAAATTTTTTTAAAAAGGGCAATAGAACCAACAATAACAAATAGATGGGCTTTGGATATTTCCATAAATAGTTTTTTCCCAATTCTAGATGAGGACCTGGGCCAGTGGCAAGAGACCTATGGCACGTGTGTGTCTGTTTCTTTGGGTTATTCGGCGGGTTTTTTTGTTTGTTTTTTTAAAACAAAAGATGTTAAGGTATGAGTTGTTTTTTCTAAACTAAAACATCATAATTCAGGTTTAATTGCAGCATTGGCACTTTGGGATAAGTACGTGGATTTGGGTTGCAGCTTGGGTACTCAGTCTCCAAAGGGTTCATCATCACTGACATAGGCTTGCGTGTAAAAACCATAAGTCAGAATATTTCTTCACAAAATTCATGTGTATCTTATTGTCTCCCCCCATCTTGCCCAAGGCTACAGAGGATCAGTAAATTGGTTATTTCCAACCTCTTCCTTTCCCTCACTAGAAATCCAAGTAATTGATAAGGGTCCAATCCTCATTTAATCAGAACAGAGCATCTGGAGAGACGTACAAACAGGAAGAAAATTTATGTCTGCAAAAGATATGAGTTTCCTGCCTGAGGTATAGCTTAAAGATGGTTTGTGCCAGACAAGTAGGAATTTTGATTCTTTCTAATTCAGTCAAATTATCATCTTCTTAAAATTAAATAACAATTCTTTTGCTATAGAGAAGAATCTAACCATATCTGATTGCCTGACCAAAAGGTCCTGCCTCATCTGGAAATCTGCCATTTGCAAAGAACAGGAGACAATTGCTTTCTCATATGAAGTTGTAGATATAATATGGAGTGATAGCATTTGAAAAACTATTTGTGGGGCCAGTGAGATAGCTCAACAGACTAAAGCGCTTGCTTAGGCAAGAGCAGGGACTGTGGTTCGGTCCCCGGCATCACCTGTTACAATGGTGGGCTGAGCTGGCCATAATCTGGGCATGGTCGTGCACACCTGTAATCCCAGAGCTGGGGAGGCTAAAAGCAGGAGATCACCACTAGTCCAAACTGCATAGTGCGACCCTACAACACCCAAATACATTTTAAAACAAAAAAGAAGAAGGAAAACAAAAGCCATTTGTGTCATAGTACACAGAGAACTTAATGATTGAAGACTGTCTGACCCTCCCTCCTGTGTGTGTGAGGCAATAACACAGAGCTTTGCCTCACAGAACATATCATCTAATGTGAGCCACCAGTTTGTTTTTTTTTTTTTTTTTTT